TAACGTGCCATCGGGCTAGCAGGGAAGCGACTACGAATCGCAAGGAAGAGACAATGGGATTACGTCATGACGATACACTCACGATCAAGCTTGCAGAGAAGGCAAGATGGGCTAGCGGCTTATAGAGACTCAGAATTTTAATTTTGTGGATACGGCAAACGGTGAGATCTCGACTTACAGAGACATAAAACTTCCTTCGTTCTCCTCCTACCACTTCGTCCTCGCAAGGCATTTGCAATTCGGGATTGTGGGGAAGGCCAACGAGATTGTGGGGTACAAGGAAGGCAATCACGACTGGTGCTTGAGGTGAAGGCCAGCAAGCTCGTGGGGTACAGAGAAGGCCAACTGGATCTTAGCACACAAGAAACACCTTTGTGCCTGGTTTGAAAAGCGTACAGAGGAGTGATGACTGCGATACAGCACGATAGAGCTAGTTGGGAAGCAATACAATCGCGACAAGATTTTTGGGAAGGCGACGACGGATCTTTCGTCTCCTGTGAAGACCCACAGGTTATGCTTGCGGGGAAGCCTCGACATTTGAGCCGATTTATATGATCTCGATTCAAACCAACTACGGGATCACGGCATACAATTTTTAAAAACGACGGGAAGGAAATGACAACCAAGAAAGTAGATGATTTGGAGAAAAAATTGGAGGAAGATGTGAGTCAACTTAAATCTGAGATGGAGGAAAGGTTCTGCAATATAGAAGGAATGCTTTCCTCTATAAACGATAGGTTTTCTTCCATGGAAAACTGATTCGGCCGCTTGGGTGAGATGATGAGAAAGTTTATCGAGATGCAATCCAACACCCCGTTGGCAGCTCAATTTGCAAATCCTAACCAAGGGTTGACCGGATATTATGTTGTCAGATCTAAATGGAAGAAGATTGAACAATAGAAACACGAGGAGAAAAGCATCTCACATTAAAAACCCCTCACAAAGCTCCCATTGGGGGTGTACTAGAGATTTATGATGGAGACAATTGGGGAGTTTTACTCTCGAAGCATGGGGGAAACAACGGAGTGAGAGAAAGTTGGGGTGGAGATGTTAGGGTTAGAAAGTTGAAGATGCTGATCTTTGAAAGAGAAAATGCATATGGGTATCAGGTGGAGCGATATTTGACGATAAATGGGATAGATGAGAAGAAGAAACTCATGGCCGCAGGGTTATGCTTGAAGGGCGAAGCCCTGGTCAAGTTTCAATAGGGGAATTTAAAGACTGTTTGTTGCAATGTTTTCGAGTCATACGGTAAGAAGAGCTACAAGAGCAATTTATGTCTTGACTCTGCAGGGGAATGTCATGAAATATAAGAAGAGATTCGAGTTATTGTCGAGATGACTGAGGAGAATTTCTGAAGCATGATTGGAGGGAAACTTCATGAAGGGCTTAAAGCCCGACATAGGAGCAACACTCAGACTATCGAGGGGAATGAGAAAGATGATGGAGCTCTCCCAGGAGATAGAAGACAAGAACCAGATAAAAAAACCAACGAAAGAGGCGTCATGATAGGATTTCATAAGAGTACATCGATGACCATAACACCGAGGACCTAGACAGTATCAATTCAAAAGGATACGCAAAAGGAGATGAATATAGAGGCCTGTCCCGAGGGCAACTTCAAGCGCCTCACAGAGGCGGAGGTGCAAGACAAAAGAACAAAGAGATTATGTCTTTGATGTGATGAGAAGTATGCTCCATGCCATCGGTGCAAGGATCACATGCTCCACATTCTTTTAGTTTGTGAATGAGAGGAGGCTAGGGGTGTAAGTGAGTCTAGCCAACTCGTGAGCCGGCTCAAGCTCGGCTCAATGAGTGGCTCGTGAACTGAGCTCGATGAACTACAAGGCGAGCTCAAACTAGCCCCGACTAAACTCGTTAGCTCGTATGTTGGCTCGTTTAAAAAAATAATAATAAAAATATACTCAAAATATATTAAATTTCAATACTTTAACTTTAAAGTATTAAAAATGTTAAAAATAATAATGTTATATTTTATATTTTATATTAAGTGATTTCTTATTATTTCTCTCCTAATTATTCATTATAATTATAATTTTATTATAGCACTACCTTAAATTAATATTATTTTTCCTCTTTTATAATAAAAAAGTCAGCTCGAATTTGTAGACTTAAGCTCGATCTCGACCTCAAACTAAATAAAATTAATCAAGCTCAAGCTCAAGTCAAGGGTGCCTCGAGCTCGACTTGACTCGTTTGCACCCCTAGAGGCATATAGTGAGGAGTCGCAAGAAGCACCGAAGAAGGAACACCATCATTTTTTCCCAGCATAAGGACAAGGTGTTCTTTTCAGGGGAGTATTGTTATGCTGGCATGGCCTAAGGACAATTTGGTCTTTATTATTATTAGAGTTTGATATAGATAAACCCTAATAGAATTAGAGTTGGGTGCATGAGATTGAATCTTGTATCTTATATTTAGAATTTATGAGAGATTTCCTACCTCTCGAACTGTAAGAATTGGGAGAAATTGCGTACCTTTCGAATTGTAGTGTTTATCTTTTGTATTTGTAAGAGTTATTAGTGTTGTATTACTTTGATTTGTTGTTCGGGACATAAAATTTACGCTTACCCTAATTTCTGTGGAAAAGCGTGTTGATTTTGACATTGGATCGTAGTTTATAACTAAGTAGGTCAATGTTGACAGAAATTTGCAGATTGTCAAAACCCAAACATTATTGTATTACAATAAATTTCTCGTGAAAGAAGCTGGTATCATTTAAGTCAACTGTTAAAATAGTATTTAATCAAAAGAAACAGCAAAGCCTTTTGAAATTTGAGGAATTTTTCAAGTATATTCGATGCAGCTTAAATGACAATAAATATCCCTCACACACCTATCTTCTCTTAAGTTAGCAAGTTTGGCAGAAAATGGAATAATGAGATCATATATGGATGAGAATATTAAAACAACTGAAAAGTAATACAATGACAATTTAATGATAACATATATAGTTGAAACTGCTCCAGACATCATTAAGGGCTCGTTTGGGGCAACTTAAAACAGCGGGCGACGTTTTGGCGTTTTCAAAACGTCGCCCTCCTGTTTGATTAACAAGTTTAAACTGCGTCCTGGAAATCGCCATTTTTATTTAGCGAATAACGTCGCCCACAGGATCATCCCCGCGGGCCGCATTCCCTTGTCAAGTTTTCTCCTGAATTACTCTGCTGCCCTAGAATTGCGCTATCGAACCCTCTGCCCTTACCCTTCCCGGATTCGGCATTCCTTCCTCCTTCGTTCGCGATCGAGCTCACAAACCCGCTCCCTGCTTCTTTGCGTCCCTTCGACACAAGTGCTTAAAAAAGATATGCCGCTTTCTAGGGCGGAGGAGTTGTGATCGAAGAACATGGAGGAGGTGCTCAAGCCCTTCTTTGAGAGGGCAACTGAAGCTGAGGTAGGCGATGCAAATCATTTCAATGAAATTCCGGATTGTTGCAATACTTGAATGCAATGTATTCACCTCTCATGCTTTCATGGTTTTCTCTTTGTTTTTTTTTCTCTATTCCCCTCTGGAGTGGGACATATGGTTTGTTTCACTGCCCTAGGTTGTTTTAGCGTGGAAAGGGTTACATTAGTGAGGAATAAGGTTGTACCAAGGATTATTTTATTTTTTTTAGGAGATGAATCTAGAAGAATGATATTACTGATCTTAGTTGTTTAAGGTTGTACAAAATAGAAATCAAAGATGAACACTCGTGATTCATGTTCTCTTATTTTTCAAGAAAAATTCAAATTAATTAGTTGTTGCTTTGGTAATTCTACTTGCAAGTCTTCATCACCTCAATTATGTTCATCCTAGTGTTTTAAATTTTTGAAAGCTAGTATTAGGGTTTTAATGCGCACAATTTCATTCTTCAAGTTTATGGTTCTGCGTTTGGGGAAAACCACTATTTAGCTTTGTAGGGGTGCCCTAAATTGCGCTCAATTGCAGATTGTCATGTTGCTTGCTTATTTGGAGCCCACTTTCCAACTGATTAGTAGAACTTGGTATCAATATGCTTAAATTTTGTTGTCTGTGATCTATGCTTCATTTTTGAATGTTGCTTGAAATTGAATTTGTTTACTAAACATGGATTATAGCCGACCAAAATTGATCCACAGGCAAAAGGCCTTTATCAATGGATTTGGTGGGAACGGTAAGGGCAAACAACACCAAAAACCTCTTGTATCTTTAATGAATTACCTTTATGATCGAATGAACAAAGTTTTTTTTGTTCCGTTTTCTTGCATTTTGGTTTGTTGGATCTGCAGTGTTTCAAGTTTGGGAGGATTGACATGCATATATGAACTTAACGCACAAACAACTACACAGTTTATCCAGAACAGTGGCAGAATAATCATTTATCCAAAATCAGTTGTTTTCAAAAGCACAAACCAAATAGTCAGTCAGCTTATCAGGATAAGTTGTTGATCAGCAGATTATCAGCAGAGCAGGAGCAGAATAGTCATTTATCCAGAATCAGTTGTTTTTCAAACGCACAAACCAAACAGTCAGTCAGTTTATCGCCAGCTTATCAGGATAAGTTGTTGATCAGCAGATTATTAGGATAAGTTATTTATCCGAATAAGCTGACTAAGCTGCAACTCCCCCATTAACCTATTGAAAGAACATAACTTAATGTCTTAATGCTCATTGTCCCAAAAAATGTTAATTTTAATCGAAATTTTAAGTTGTATTGGATCCCAAAAAACCTTTATGCATGCAGTCAAAGGGTGCTATGTTAACGCCTTTTCAAAAAACATATTGGTTGGAAGCTTATGCAATGAGGGCACCGTTTGTCACCTCTAGCAAATAATCTTACACAATAAATGGATTGCTCCTCGTAGCATAGAAAGCTAAAAATAAGATGTATGAAAATTCAGATTCACATCATATATGCATAAAAATTGCAATATTTTGTCAATAAATTAGCAAGCCTCGTTTTCCAAAGCATCTTTTTTCAATGCTATCAGATGGATATCATAGGCCAAAACAATACCTAGTCAAGGCCAGGGTAGTTGATTTCAGAATAGGAATATCCTGCACAATGCTTGAAATGGTAGAACATCGACAAATAAAGAAATTGTGGCTATATGTATTTTGGTTTGTTCTCCTTTGTATGCTGCCTGAAACATGAACACTCCAGAAATCTTGTTGCTGCAGATAGATAGAACAGATACCCAGAGCTTTGAACATTCAAAAGCATAATCAAGAACAGATAATATATGACAAGAACCATTTCTACCAAGATACAATACTTCCAAGAGGGCAAATACATAACATTTATTTCATTTTGAGACAAAGCCTACCTTCTTCCTCATTTAAGAATCCATGCACTAATACCTTGCAAGTTGAATGCAAACTTTTGAAATACTATTTTATAATCTTTTTAAGGCCATTTTGTTTTCAGCTTCCAACAAGTTGTAGTAGTAAACAAGCGAGAACAAATGAACATTTATAATGATAGAAAATAATTTTGTCTAACAAGTTATACAGTATGGTCATTTTGTCTCCAACTTAACATCGTGATATAATTCAGATGTAGTTCTATAGTTCAACAATGCACTATAAAACTAATGCTTCCTTCATTAGGTAATATCGTGCTACATTTACTTTGTATTGTGTAGTGCAAAATAGAGTCATCATTACTCCTGAAAAAATGGGTATGAACAAGGGCGGAACCAACCTCTTTTTTGAGGGGCGCAAACTGCCTCCCTATAACCAATTTGGGAGGGACTATGACAACAAATGGCAAAGTGATATTTCAGAAGGGGTAAAACTGAAATTTCAGGAGAAGCAAAAGGCCAAATTGCCCTTTCATATAAGTAAAAATCTAAATTTGAGGGGGAATAAATGTCCCCCCGGACCATACTTGGGTCCGCCCCCCGCATGATGCTCTGCAATGTGTTCCGAGTGATTGTAAAACGGTAGAATATTTTCACGGAATATGTTAGGTCTTGAGTAATATATCTTGGGTGAATCAAATTTTGATATGTCAATTTTTAAAGCTATAGTTTGCGAGTATAACTAAACATAAGAATGATGGGCATTCAACCACACCAGCAATGAACAGATACACAATGAAAGAATGCTTGAGCAAAAAACAAGGGAAGAAGATTACCAAAGAGAATGAAGAAAGCCAAATGCCAGGAAAATTACAATAGCCCTTCGTTTCTGAGCCCTGCGATCAGAACCACATTAAACTTCTGTATAAGCAACAATAAATAAAAAGAAAATTCCATGAAAGTAGCCAATACCTTCAATGGTTTTGGCCATACATGGTTATTGACAACGCCTAGTTCATATGACAGTAGTAATGAACATCCGACAGCCATTGCTGACATTTAGCTATGATGAGAAAATAATCCCGATAATTTATGAAGTGCTTTAGCCTGGTTTTAACAATACGATAGTTTACTAGGGCTTCTCTAGGACTGGAAGAAACTATTTAAGCAAAAAAGAATCTCCAGAAAGAATTTCCGCCGAGCGCAGCGAAACACTGGGACCTGCCACAGAAAAACCACCATTCATGTACCGAAATTAGATAGACCGCTTTTTAATCCTCCTACAAGGGGCTTTTTACCAAACCAATGAGACCAAAATTCAATCAAAAAGTACACATTTGCGTGATTTTACAGCCCAATGTTGCGCTCAGAAGTTCAAGGTTCACAAAAACATAATGAACCAAAAGAACTACGCCAAATCTACGGAAACAATGAAAGCCTACAGGCATGAGATTATCATCTCCATCGAAAACTAAAGAAAATCTATCTGTTCCAACTGCGAGAACACAAGTATTCCGAGTGCTTGAGCGCAAAATTCAGCAAATGAGAAGCAAGAGAACAGGAGCATACCCTCCAACCGAGAAAAGTATAAGAGTTCCCGGTTAACTGGAAAGAGGGTCAAGGGGCGAATCGACAAGCAGAGTTTCTCCGTCCTTCGTTGGCGCGAGGCTGAACAAGTGACGGGGTAACGAGGGGAAGGTGAAGGGATTATGGAGTTCGAAGTTTCACGATGGCGCTTCGCCACACAAGTGGAATCCTGACTTGTGTGAACCAGCAGAATGCCTTGTTGGACTCGCAAAGGGAAAG